GCAGACCTTCTCCCCCGACGTCTTCCGGCTTTTCTGCATGCGCACCAGCTATAGGTCAGGTAAGCTGGCTCTCATGTGCCTGGGGAGGCAGAAGGTGGGCCTGTGTCAAGGCCATCCAGGCACTGTGCTTGCTGGCTTGCCCCAGGTTTATTGGAGAAGTGAGCCTGGGAAACACAAGCTCAGGGCCCAAGGCAAGGCTGCTCTTCCAGAGCCGACCGTTCTGACTGCCCACCTATGCACATATCCCTGTGTGAGCCCTGCTGCCCAGAAGGTTCCAGGACAGCTTTGGCTGGAACCTGTTCAGGGCAGGGCCCATATTCTCAGGTAGCCCTTTGACCACGGCACTGTCTTCCACTGGTTTCTCAGGTACTGTGTGCTTCAGGGCACACAGGGCATTTCCTCAGTGACCATCCCTTCCTTTGCAGCCATTGAATACAGTGACAGTACCCTGCTGGAAGCCAAGCACACCCTGCTGGGTTTGACCTCTTTTATAGAGGACGCACGAGCCTATGTAAAAGGGCAGCTGACCTGTGGCCCTGTTGGTGAGGATGTGCTGTGGGAGAGGTAAGCAGTCCTACCCACTCATGCCACTTTAGGGACAGGTAGCTAGAGTGAAGAGGCAGCCTCCCCTTCTGCCAGCTGTCATCCCTGCTTCCCTCTGCTCCTGAGCCCTGCACGCTGTGGTCATCTAGAGTTGACATGTTTCCATCTTGGTCCAGTGGCTCAGCATTGCCACATTTGATGGGGAGGGGCTGTCACATCTACAGTTGACTATTACAGAATCACCCAGGTGGCTGCTGTGCACTCATTGTGGGTAGGCTCCCTTCACTCAAGAGTTTATTTGGCTAAGGAGGTAGCTCAAGATTTTGTTACAAAACAGTAAACATTTGTACTTCTGGGGGAAAGATGTCTGTGTATTCAGGGTTGGTGGCAGGCCAGCCTAGGGCACCAGAGGGCTGCTGGAAAGTCCCTTATCTGCCTCATCACGACAGGTGACTCCCGTATCTCACTCCAGGCTGAGCATCACCAAGAAGGCCGTGAAGGCTGCGCTAGCCAATGACTTTGACACGCCGAGGGCAGTGAACACCATCCTGGACCTTGTGCACCAAGCCAACAGACAGCTTAGGGCAGTCTCGAAGGTAACGTGAGTGCTGTGGATGTCAGGGCAGGGGGCTACTCCTAGGGAAGGAATGGCCACTGGTTCCACAACCATCTAGACTTGTCTCCCAGAGCTGGCAGTTTGGGGGCAGCCTCCATCTGTGAGACTTCACAAGCTCAGCTGTGACATTCAGTATCAACACAGGAACATGGCAACAGGTGGATCAGCTCTAGCTCCTGATGTGCAGATGCTTGTGTCGTCTGCCTGCCACCCTGAGTGCTGTTGAAACAGGGAGGTGGATTGACTGCCTCACTCAGTGGTGAAGTGTTTGCCCAGCACATGCAAGGCTGTGAGTTCACTCCCTGGGACCCCCCATCCCAACAATGAGAAGCTGTCTGCTGGAACCTGGACTCAGATGCCACCCAACTGGGTCTCGGGCCACCTGATCCAGCATTGTGGGGGGATGGCTCCAATGGCCTTGTAGTTTTGGATTCTTGAGTGACACTGTCAGCACCACAGGTGGGCACCGTGTCTTGACATGCGTCTAAGGGTTCCATGTCCATGCAAGGTACTTTCCCTTAGTCCCTTGCCTGGTCACCATGGGGCTGAGCATTCAGTCCCAGCTTCTTCAGGCTCACATTACACACGCTGGAGGCAACTAGCAGATCAAACCAACCATACCCAGGGAAGCTGACTGTGGGTGATCCCAGAGTTCCTGAAACTTGCCCTCAGCCTTCTCATTTCCAAGGGTCACTTCCTGTGAGTCCCACACTACTTGGCCACCTCTGGGGGCTCCTCTAGGGGGAAGAACACAAGCTGATTAGGGAACAGGTTGGCACTGCCATTCCAGGAATGAGGCTTGGCATTCCAAGGGTCTCTGAGTCAGTCAACAAACACCAGACTTTCGAGATTCCCTTGTTTTCTGCTCAAATCCGAGACCCACAGTTCCCATCACCTTCCCTCTATCATGCCCTGCACTGTACCATGGCTGTGCTTAATCCACAGGACCTAGATTCGCAAGGTACTGCCGTGGTATGAAAGGCAGGCGGAGGCACACAGTACCAGTGAGCCTAACTGTGCAAGAGCCCACAGAAGCCAAAGCAGAAACGCTCTGACCTCATCCATCGTCTTGCAGGAAGCTGGCGGCCCAAGAAGTCCCACTGTGTTTGGTGCCATCATCTCCTACGTTGAGCAGTTTTTCGAGACTGTTGGGATTTCTCTGGCAAATCGACAGGTACATCCATCTCTTCAAATGCTGTGTTCTGAAACTGCTGACCTAAGGTGACTAGTCCCTGGCTTACACACTGGAGTTGCAGGGTGCCTGTTAGCGGACACTCCACCACTGACCAGCTTGTGGCAGAGCAGGTCAGCCTAGCATCTACAAGCTGATATTCCAGGTACAGAAAGGTGCACATGAAGACATTTTCCCGAGCTGTATGAGATGGCAGTGGCATGAGTGGGTCCCTGGTCCCTACAATTGGCATCTCTCTGGTTGCAGGAGGCCCTCGGGCTTCCCCACCTATCTGGTGGTTCCTGCACAGCACAGGTCCAGTTGCTGGAAAGATTCTGCCTTCCCAGATCTTGATGTAAGCCAGCTGTGTGGGAGGTCCCGTCTCCTATGTAGTGACGGCTGTCCCTTCCTGTGATGTTCAGCTGTACCAAGTAGATAGGGCAAGGCTACCAGGTTCTTCCACAAACCTCCTTCTCCCTTCTAAATGGGAGAGGCCTTGGTCCTATGAAGCCAGCCTGGTCCACAAGGAACACACAAGTCTCCTATCTACTCAATTCCAGTTCAGTTAAGCATGGCTTTGGGGCTGGCCATGTTCCCTATTGTGTCCCATCACCCTCTCCTTGCAGGCCTCAGTGCGTGGAGGTGAGGTGTGTGCATCCAAGCACATGTGATCGTATCTAAGTTGGCTCCACTCAGCCCTGGTTTACCCTGCTCTCTCATCAGGGAGAAGCCCCCGTAGCTGACAGGTCAGCTCCTCTCTGGGTGGCCTCTCCTCTGTGCACACGTCATTCTGCTGGTACTCTGTGGCCCCATGCATGGATGTCACTGTGGGTTCTAAAGTCCCCTTTAGGGCCCCTTTCCTCCTCACTCACTTCACTCTGGTGTGCCTTCAGCTTTAGGGCTGTTCTGGAAGAGACAAGGCATTCTCCACTCACTGGGCTGGAGCCACGCCACGCCTCCGACAAGGTCGGCCAGAGTGTCAACTCTGGCACTCCTGCCAAGGCTTCTGTAGTCCTTTCTAGGGCCTCTTGCTGGCTTGTTTTTGCCTTAACAGGGGACCAGCTTTGGGTCCATCAGCCAGTGTATAGCAGGACAGATGGCTTATGGGAGCTCAGTAAAGGGTTGTCTTCATTCATGCTTAAGGCTTAGGCTGCTAGACTCTCCTGAGACGACAGGATTCTGCTGATATTTGTCACATCTACAGTTGTTGCTGAGGCCTAGACGGGACCGAAGTAGGTATTACCATCTTAACTTGAGCCAGTGAGAGAATGAAGTGTTTCTCAGAGCCAGTCTGGTGCTAGCTAGCCTCATTCACCCTCCAAGATTCCCTAGAAAGATTAGGAAACTGATAAAGACAAGACCCAAGCAGGTCTAAGCCCAGAAGCTAGTTGAGTGTGGTCTCCCAGGCTGTGGACGGGAGACCCCGCCTTGCTGGGCATACCCATTAACAGTGTCTCATTTAAAGGAGGCTCAGTGTGTTTCAGGAGACAGCGGCACAGCAGCTCTGCACTGTGTGGTGGATGAGCTTGTGCGCTTCAGGCTGAAGGTCCGCCAGTACGCACTGGCGACACCGGGGGCGACTGGCGCGGCCCGGAGACAGCAGCTCCAGGAGAGGCAGCCCTTGTTAGAGGCATGTGATGCCCTGCGCCAGGACCTCGCCACCCACGGCATCAATATTAAGGTTAGCAATACTGCAAATACAGGGGACACCAATGTCGCAAGACAGTGGCCAGTCAGCCAACTTCTGAGAGAGATGGCAGATGCAGAGGTGGTGTGGGAGGAGGGTATATAAGCTGTAAGAGCTGCCAAACTCCACCCCTGTGGGCAAGGAGCTGGCTCCCTCTCCTGGCATCCCACTGCTATCTCCAACTTCACTTTCTGACCTGTCTCCTTGAGTAAGAGGATGCCAGACCTATCAGAGCCTTCTCCTTCAGGACAGAAGCATTACAACCTCCACTTGGGAACTGCTAGATCCACGGACGACACACCAGAAACCTGAAAGTTGAGGATGAGGCAGCTGCAGTTCCACGTGCTGCCATGCCATGGTGCCTGCTCTTGTGATGAAAACTTTATATTAAAGTTGCAATTGTGGCTGTTTAGCCAACAGTAAAGTGAGCCTGTGCTGCCTGCCATGTGTCCACAAGTGCCTGGAAAGCTAGTAGGGCAGTGCCACGACGGCCACATTCTCAACATTCCCTTCCTAAGTTCACATCAGCTGTTCAGGAGACATTCCTAGACATGGCTAGCTGGCCATCACAAAGGACTAGACGACACAAGGGGCACCAAAGAGCAGACCCCCATTAACTAAGGCATGCAGCTGCCAGGCCACACTAGGGAGGGAGGCTCAGCAGGCGGAGAGGAGGCCACGGTGAGCAGCAGGGACACAGACACAGGTGACAGTTCTCCCTGCCATTCCCGAGTGCCAGTGGCACCCAAGTCTCCAGCCCTTCCCACGGGCCTCTAAGATCTCCAGGTGCATGGTCACTGGTCGTTCTGAACTACTTCATCAAGTTAACACCCAGACTCTGAGTAGAGAACTATACAGGGGTCTGTGAACCTCAGTTAAAACCAAACCCTGCACCCACCATCCACTCCAACACTGGAGCCCTGTGAGGGGTGCCTACTGATGGTAGGGAGCGAGAAGCAAAGAACAGACTCCAGTTTGCTGTGTTGGAACGAGCCCCATGCAGGTGGGCTGCTAGGAGATCTTTATTCTCACTTTCTCCTTGTTGCTGCCAAGAAGCCAAGAAAACCGCACAAGAGCACAGTAGTGTCATAACACCTCAACTCTATTTAGTCAGGATGGACGGCTGTGTCCTAAATTCTCTGTCAGCTAGTTTAGGCTCGGTACGCAGAGGACAGTCTGTGGCACCCTTCAGTCGGCACTGGCTTAGGTCGTGAAGAGCTTGCTGAAGGCAGGTCCGACCTCAGCGATCATGTCGGTGGTGGTTGTGGCGCGCCCGTACTTCTGGAAAGCCTGATGATTACACTCCCTTGTGAGGGTGCAAGCACCCCAGGCAGCCACCAGTAGTGGGCTGAAGCTGTAAGACAAGAGCAGAATCAAAGGCCTCATTGTAGGCCCTGTCAAGAGCTCTGGGCTCTGACCCATTTCTGCCTTCAACTCCCAAATAGCAAGCTCAAGCCAGCTGGGCCCTGAGAAGGCAGCTTACTGCAGCTGAGCCCAGACACCCGCATTTGTGACTGGCATATGGCTCAGTGGCAGATCACAGGCCTAGGGAGCACTAGGAGGCCCTGGGTTCACCCTGGAGATGGCCCAGAACCCAACGGAGGGAAGCAGCTCTTCCTGGTATGAGGCTCTAACAGCACTCCCTGGTTTTCTTAGCGTGTGGCGGGACACCTGAGGTCCGCATGCAGACCCGCTACTCCACTGCACACCCATCTTGGGCTGGAGGACAAACTAGAACCACCCTTTGTGCCACTCCCCTGCAGAGCTGAGCAAACTAACATGCACCTGAAACACCATTTCCTCCAGTGGTGTTGACTGGGCACCTCATACCTAGTATATGTGGCCATAATATTCCACAGGACATTATGTGTGGGCAATCTGTGAGCTTAGCATCCTGCTGCCTCAGAAATCACACACCTATGAAGACCAGTGTCCAGGACGGCCATCCCTCCACCCTGTCTGCTCTCTACTTCAGTTTATAGAAGCCACTGCTGAATTCTCCACAGTGGTGCCCTAACCAGCCGTGGCCGAAAGGGCCCCACCCTCAGCTGGTATGGTAGCTTTGGGTCTAGCATGTGTGTGGACAGGGGACCTTTGGAAGCAGATGTCTCCTGCGGAGCACTGATAGTTCACCCGGGACACTACAGGAATTTGACATGTGAGCTGCTGGAGAGCTGACGGCATTAACGGTATCAGAGCAGGACAAAGGAAGGGTGCCATACCCATTTGTTCTCTCCGGTCCAGCAAGGAGGGCCCAGTGCGCCATGACACCCAGGGAGCCTGAGAGGAGGTCTCCTTGACCCCCACACCTGCGGCTGCTGCCTTCTTGGCTGCACACAAGCACTGTCAGGACAGATGCGAGCAGGCATCAGTACCAACACCGTGAGCTGCTCCCCTCCCCGCTTGTTCCAGGAGGCCCTCCACCCCAGACCAAGAGGATGAGCTCCTGAGAGAGCAGTGCTGCAGGGCACAGCCTGAGCCCAGCCCAAACGCCATCTCCACACGTCTCCAAAACCCCACCAGCAGCATGCCCAGGCACCCCACTTGGGTCCTCCCGCTAACCACTATATACCTGTGCACGTGAAAATGGTTTCCTTAGGAAATGTTTTTAACCCTGGTGCTACATTTGAGTGTGCTGGCATCAGGAGTGCCTCGTCACTATGGTCTGGCTGCCCCGAGACCATTCTGTGCATTTCCTGTCCTGGCTGTGGGTAGGTATGTGTGTGTTCACATACATGACCACGTGTCCCTTGGTGTTCTAAAGACTAAATTCAGGTTTTTGTCAATGACTCCATATCTCCCTAACAGCTACGTGAACTAACAATATAATGGTGGCCTGGCCATCCCTGGGAGTGCAGAGTGGCAGACTTACAGGACACCCACACGCTCCCCCTGCCTCCACTCTGCTCCACTCTGCAGCTCCTAGGGAAAGGCACTGACATTTCCAGCGAACGCCAGTGCTGAGGTTTCCTTTACTGTCTAGTTATAATAAGACAAAATCCAACAAAAGACCCAAATGGCTGCTATTATGTGTGGGCGCCTTACTGAAAGGGAGGTGACAGGTAGAGATGGCGGCCCAGGAGTATGCAGGCTCTCTGTCTCAACCCTGCTTCCTGAAAATGTTTTTATTTCTGTGTGTGCGTGCACACATACATGTGTGCTCGAGTGTGTACTACACCTGGCTGGAAATGGTTTCAAGTCAGTCAAAGTGCAAGGTCTGAGACCCTTGCTGAGCCTGCAGTGAAGGCCCAAACACCCTTGTGTCCCCACAGCCCATGCAAACCTTCAGGAGCACACAGAGGCCATGGCTGGCAAGTTAAACGTGTACCAACAGGTATGAATCAACATGAGGCTTCCAGGTCATGTCAGCACGGCCTCCGGGTGGCATGGAAGGTCCCCACTCACCCTGCTGACCATCGGAGATCAGGTCATGCTCTCCTTTCTGGACCACTGTGATGTTCCCCAGGGCCTGGCTGAGCTTCAGTACGGATTCACTGTGGCCCTGGGTGTCCACAGGACTATTGAGCTACAAGACAAGCACAGAAATCAAGTCCTGGACACACAGGTTCACAGGAGGCAAGGTGAGCACTCATCCTGAGAAGTCTCAGATGTTCAGGCCCATAGAAATCAAGGGCACTGCTAAGGGCTGAGGTGTAAGAGTAGGAAGTGGCCAGGACATCCCTGGTACCAGACCCTCCAAGGGATGCTGACACCAACGTTTACTCTCGATTTGTCCTCTCCCTGACTAGACCAGGTTGTAAAAACAACACTAACTTGGATGCTGCTGTTGTGCGTGCCCCTCCCCCACAGAGAGCACAGGTTTGGGACACATGCCATCAGGACTCATGGGCTTCACTTTATTTCATTCTGTCCCCACACCCCATGGAGCAGAGGCTGTAGGTCAGCTAGCACTTGGGGACGGAGTAACTGGGCCTGTGACCACAGCAGGCAGTCCCTGGCCAAAGCCCACCACACCATCATTCATCCAATAAAATCTATATGGGAACTACAGGAGGCATGAGAAGCATGTGTGGTAGAGCCCAGGGCAAACATCTCTAGGGATCTGCACGTCAGCCTCCCTGCAGAGACAGGCCCATGCCCTGAGATGGGCACAGCCCTGGAGCTCACTTCACCCTAGGTCAGGTTCCTCCTTCCCCAAAGCCCATGAACTCACCACAGCTTCCCAAAGCCTGCCGAACTCCACTCGGTTGGGGGTGAGAATGGCCTTCTGGTAACTGTGGATGAGGGCCGGCTGCTGAGCTATCAGCCACAGGCCATCCTGTGCAGAACAAGGACGCACCTTCACCGCTGGGCCTCAGAGACCCTGTGCTGACTGTGTGGGGAGATGAGAGCCACACTCACCGCGTCGATGACCACAGGGATGTCCCTGGCCTTGCTTGCTTCCAAAATGCCCTGCCAGAAAAGCAGACAAGATGAACAATGTAGAGGGCAAAAAGTCACGGGTACATATCTAAGCACTGGAGAAGCCAGGGAAGTTGGACACAGCTTACCCTTCAGTGGAAGGAGGGGTTTAGTTGCTCCCCGTGAAATGTCAGGAACGGATGTGGTTTTACAACCTGGTGATCTTTTGCTGTCAGAGACAGGCTCTGCCATATCCCCAGAATTTACGGTTTACTCATCCTCGACCCTTTCCCCTTACATCTCGAGCACTGCTTCTAGTGAGTGAGGTCACCTGTACTTTACACCAGCCTGAGTGGCTCCATGTTACCTTAGGGCCAGGCCACCCTGACCCCACAGGCCCTTGTTTACCTCCATCAAGCTCCCTAGACTGTAAACCTTGGGCACTATCTACAGTACCCATTTCTGTGAAAAAAGCCAGAAGGACTTTGTAAAGACTCTCAGTGTAAACATGTCTTAAACTGTTGTGCACTTGAGCTGAGGTAATTGTTATCTGAATATTTTTTCCCAAAATTGTGCTGTGCTTAAATATGGCTAAAGTAAAATGATCTGGGCCAGAGTCCAAGAATCTTGGGCTCCAGCACCAGTTACCAAAATCGGCTGTTTCGTTCTTTCCTCACCCCGTCGCTTCCCGGCCTGCTGGAAGCCTGCAGGGGACCCTCCCACAGAACAAGTGCATCTCCCCAAGAGGAGGAAGGAGCTGGCAGTGCTTATGCAGTCACAGGCAAGCAAACAGGACAGCCAGTTATAAAACAGCAGGGGCAGAGCCAGCACGGCTCCCAGACCAGCTCACCAAGCCCCAAGTGCATCGCCAAGCGCCCGGCCCATGCCGTGCTGCAGTACTTGATTTCTGGGGATTCTCCAATCAACTGTCACCCATCTTTCTACCATTTTACTCACATGCTTTTAAACAGCAGGTGATCATAATAGCGAACCCTTTTCCCACAGGACTGATCCTTCGTCCTCTTCTGAAAGCCTCAAAGGCTTCCCATTTAAAAAGTACAGATATATATTAATCAATGTACTGTTATTATCAACTAATATGCTGCATATGGCAATCAGATGGGCCAGTAAAATGGCTCACAGTAAAGGTGCTACGCCTCTACAGGGTGCTAGGAAAGTTGACCTCTGACCTCCACCCATATGCTGTGACATGCACATTCACACATGCAGCGTGTGCACACAAATACATTTTTAAGATTAAAAGAAAAAAGTGATAAACAGACTAGTAGAAAACACGAGGAGACGAAGTAAGTGTAACTGGGCCCTGACACCCGCGGTCCTTGTTTCCTGAGTCCTAGTTAGGGTGACTTGTCATAGGAAGCACAGTGAACAAGAGCAACTTGGGGAGGAAAGGGTTTATGTGGCTATACTTCTGCATTATAGTCTACCAATGGAGGAGGTCAGCGCAGGAACTCAAACTGGACAGGACCTGGAGGCAGGAGCTGATGCAGAGGTCATGGAGAACTGGTTTGCTTATCATGGCTTGCTTTCTTTGTTTTTTTGAGACCAGTTTGTCAAACAGTCCTGGCTGTCCAGAATTCACTCTGTAGACCAGACTGGCCTCGAACTCACAGAGAATCACTGTCTGTGCCTCTTAAGTGCTGGGATTAAAGGCGAGCGCTACCACCACTGCCCAGCCTCAGCCTGCTTTTTACAGAATTCAGGACCATTGGTCTGGGGTGGCACCACCCACAATGGGCTGGGTCCTCCCCCATCATCAATCAGTAATTAAGAAAATGCTGTACAGACTTGTGCACAGCTTGATCTTACAGAGGCATTTTCTCAATTCCGACTCCCTCCTCTCTCTGATGACTCTAGCTTGCATCAAGCTGACACAGAACTGTCAGCACACAAGGAAAGTGCCAGCATAGGAAACGTACATTTTGTCTGGCACTGGCCCACAGGTTCCAAGTGGGGGCACAAAAGTCTAAGCAAGGACAGGGCACATGGGTCCCAGAGAAGCTCATTTCCTATCTTAACAATACTCCAGCTTGCTGGCTGTGTCTCCGGCTTTCCTGTCAACCCACGGGGTCTGCCATTCAGATCTAGGTCATGTCTGATTTCAGACTATTTGGTAATGTGACACCAAGGTCTCTTCTAGTTTCCCTAATAAAGCAGAGTAGCAGCCCAAAGCTCTCACCAAAGCACTGGAAAGGTGAACCCCAGCACAAGCCGGGGTGCTCTCAGGATGAGTGCCAGCACCCAGGAGCGGAGCCCTGTGAAGGTGCGTGTGCGAGCATTTAAAATATCACTCGTGGGCGTGGCAGCACTCGGGAGGCAGACACATCACCTATGAAGAAACAGCCCGAGAAGCCTAACAGTAAGTACACAGTTCTGATACAGCTATTAAAACAGTCTGGAAGCGAGAGCCAGGTGCACTCGCAGGAAAGTATCTGCAGGACCCACAGAACAAGCTGCAGAAGAAACATGGCGTGATGGCTGAGCATCCTAGATGGCATGGGTTCAAAACCAGCCTGCGGTGAGAAACTTCATCTACAGGGTCAACATCCCTCCTGCAGCCCCAGCCTCCAGCAGACAGAGTCCTAGGTGCACCGTCACTGAGGGCACCAAGTTCACGACACACTGCAACATGAACTGCAGGTGCGACAACATGCTGCCTAGTCACACAACAGCACACCGTTCAATTTCTCTCAGCAAACTTCTGTAACTGAGAGCTACAGAGATAGAATCAGCACCAGGACCCCTGGCAAGCAGCGTCACACTAGAAGGGGCATAAACCTGCCACTCCTCCCTGGAACTCAACAGGAAACCCCACAGCAGCCTCTAGTGTCTGTGGCTGCTCATACAAAACAAAACCCTGAAGCCAAGAGACTCATCCAGTCTGCTCTGCTCTGGAAGACCCTCGCTACTACTGGTTACCATCCACCCCACAACACAGCTCCGTCCACTTCCAAGATGAGGTCCAATGACCAACAACAACGGGCAACTGAGCCTGAGGAACAAAAGAAACATTTGCGTGCAATACTGTATCTGAGAGGCAGAGTGCTTAACAGTGACACCACTTACCCTGACATTGTTGAGAAGAAGGTCGTCCCTACCTAGGCCAGGGCCCACGACAAGGGCATGCAGCCTGGGGAGCCATTTCTCCACCTCCTCAACAGCATTAGAACTGTCACTAAAATAGGAAAAAGACAGAACGGTTTCTCAAGACTATCATTTGCTTATTTTAGACCACTGCGTGTGTGTGGTGCTGAGGACTGAACCCATGACCCTGCACATGCGAGAAGTGCCCTACACCAGTTGACGTCCCAGCAGTAGGGAAGTTCCCACAGTTCCCTAGCCACTGCGCCCTTGAGCATCCTACATATGCACACTCCAGAAAACCACAAGTGAGGGCTGGCTCAGCTCTGAGCAGCTGACCCACAATCCCATCCTGTCTCTGTCCCAGGATACATTTGACCCTCGCATCTCCTCAGTCTTCTCCATGTACTGGTTTATTTTTGTTTTAGCTTTTTTTTTTTTTTCTTTCCAATCTCTGTGTAGTCCTGGCTGTCCTAGAACTTGCTTTGCAGACCAGGCTGGCCTTGAACTCAGAGATCACCTGCCTCCGATTCTGGAGTGATGGGATTAAAGATGTGCACCACCATGCCTAGCAGCTTCTTTTAGCATTTAAAGACTGCTTTCGCCTGCATGTCTGTCAGTGCACTACATGTGTACATAGTACCTGCAGAGGTCAGAGGAGGGCATCAGATTCCTTCAAACTAATGTTATGGATGGCTGGGAGTGCCATGTGGGGACCTGGACTAGAACCTGGGTCCTCTGTAAGAGCAGCTGGTGCTGTCACCTGCTTAGCCACCTCTTCAGCCCCACTTTATTTTTATTGTGGATAAAGTGGAACAAAAAGAATGGTCCTGTCCTGAGCTTCTTCAGCTAAGTTTCAGTCCTTGGTGGCACTGCCTAGGGCGACATGTGGGCCCTGTCATTTCTGAAGTTCTGGGGAGCCCCTGAACAGGTTCTGCTCAGCTCAGAGGTACCCAGTGAACCAAGCTGAACAGAGCTCAGGCACTGTGAGCACTGCCTCAGGCACCCCTGCTCCGTACACCACACAACACAGCACCGTTGGTCTCCCCCCCCAACAGGCGCCCCCCCCTCCCCCTGCATCCCAGGTCCCCCTCTAGCCCGCTCACTGTCTTATGCTGATGCACAATGATGGACTCACTATGATTTTCTTTTCTTTCCTTTTTTCTTTTTATCTTTTAAAAAAATATTTATTTATTTACTTATTATGTATACAATATTCTGTCTGCAGACCAGAAGAGGGCACCAGACCTCATTACAGATGGTTGTGAGCCACCATGTGGTTGCCGGGAATTGAACTCAGGACCTTTGGAAGAACAGGCAATGCCCTTAACCCCTGAGCCATCTCTCCAGCCCCTGATTTTTCTTTTCTTTAATGGTGCTGGGGATCAAATATCCACTTCGTGAGCTACATCCTAAACCTTTTAAAAGTTTTATTTGATAGGCTGTTAGCTGTCCAAGCTGGCCTCCAATTAGAAAGCCTCTGGCCTGAGCCCTAGCTGGGGAGAAAGGTGTGCGCCACAAGGCCTGGGCCTCATTATACTTTTCTTACTCCATGTAGCACCCAGAGTACAACAGACACACGAGTGTGAAAATTCTCCAGTAGGTAAAGACACCCACAGTGCAGACTCACAGGACGGGGTGGACGATCAGCTCTGGGCTGTAGGACTTGATCACTGGCGCAGCCTCCCTGGCACAGAACACGTGGGTCAAATCTGCACCCTGAGAAATAAAATCAGAGGTGGGCTTAGAGAAGGCCATGGTCAACAAGACCAACCACGAGCAGCTTGATCTTTCACACCATGACATGTGATGTCTGGCCACGTGCAGCTGTGAACGGGCATGCAGTACCCAAGGCTGTCATGTGCAGCTGTGAACGGGCATGCAGTACCCAAGGCTGTCACAGCTGTGAATGGGCATGCAGTACCCAAGGCTGTCACATTCTGCACTAAAAGGTAAACTCCTCTGAGATAAGGTCTCTCACTGAACCTGAAGCTAGGCTGGTGGTCAGTAAACCTCGGGGATCCTCCTGTCTCAGCCTTCAACAATGCTGGGGATACAGACATGAATGGCCATGCCAGGCTTTTTGTGTGCGCTGGGAATGTGAACTCAGGCCTTCATAAGTGTATTTCAAGTATTCTTACACACAGTGTCACCTCTCCAGGTCCCTAAATAACCCAACTTTTAATCAGAGGAACCCCAATAAACACTCAGAGGTGAACCTACCACTTTCAGAGCCGAGATTCCTGCAAAATATGGTGCTCCTGTGTACCTGAAATGGGAACAATTGAAGTCAAAACTTCAGTGAAGCGACACACATCTGCCAATAACAGGTTACCAACACAAGGTAAGAAGAATATGTGAATACATATAATTATCAGAAGTGACATAGTCTCCAGGCCCCAAACACGAAGTCAGCATGCAGGAGATGCTCAGTAAACATTCACACAGGAGTCAGAACCAGAGACGCTCCACACGACAACTGTGGCCATTTCTCAACACTGGCTGTGTGACTCTGTACCAGGTACAAGACAGGGCTAGCTAGCTGCAGGCTTCTGTAGGGGCAAAGGTGGAGGTGACCCCAACTCAAGGCAGTCAGCAGAGTCAGGTCCTCAGAGTAGAAGAACCCTGTCTTCTATGAGTGACATCAGCAGAAGCCATACAGGGTCACTGCACCCTGCTCTGTGTTCCCAGCTTCTTGTCTAAGCTCTTGTGGCCCGTGGCAATCTCATGCGTGGCATGGTGTTCACATACAGAGTCACGGTGCTCATTGCCACTGGTATAGGTTGTCACCCATGTCCTCCCACGCCCCAACAAACCAGGGACAAATGCTGAGTGCACGGAACCCAGGCCCATTCTCAAACATGTGACCCGCTCTTCCACAACTGTGTCAACAAAGTGTGTCCAAATCACCAGAGAAAGGACCACACACGCTCTCCCTTTCCCACAGACAGAGGTGTTTCACAAGACACTGCAGAATGGACCAGGACCACAGGAGATCACACTCCACACAACACATGGGAGCCACCAGGGAAGAGAGGACAGTTGGGATGGTAACAGAGGCCAACAGATGAGGAGCGTCTAAGCCAGACTAATGGAACATTCCAAAGCCAAAGCCACACCCCCAGACCTACCCGGGAGGAACAGCGGTCTCTAGAGCAGAGTGCATGCTGACAAACGGGGTGCAGACAGCATGATCTCCCCCAGGTTACCGCGGCAGCACTACCACTGCTTCTGGGACGTCTACAGTCAGCCAGTCACCAGCACAGTACACGGGGACCCTGCTGCCAAAGCACTACGTCTTGAGGAACCAGAGAGGGCAGGAGCACAAACACAGATGAGCCCCACAATACACACCCCTAAATTTACCAGCTAAGAAGCTCAACTGGAATTCTTTGTTTTTTGAGACACGGTTTCTCTGTGTAGCCCTAGCTGTCCCTGAACTAGGTCTGGAGACCAGGCTGGCCTTGAACTCACAGAGATTGGCCTGTCTCTGCCTCCCGAGTGCTGGGATTAAAGGCAGGTGCTACTACTCCTTGGCAAGCTGGGAATTTTGAATCCAATTATAAATGCAAATTCAGAGGGAAAAGCAGAACTGGTGGCTGGAACTGCTTGGCAGTTGTCACCAAAGCTCTCATCAGCTGCTCTGAAAACTGTGAAGCAGTGGTACATGGAAGAGTGCATGCAGGCTGGGTTTCCAAGTGGAAGGCATTTCAGACTACTCAAGAGATGCTAACAAGATGGAAATACAGAAGGAAACACAGTATAAGGTAAAGGACGCGGGGCTGGAGAGACGGCTCAGAGGTTAAGAGCACTGACTGCTCTTCCAGAGGTCCTGAGTTCAATTCCCAGCAACCACATGGTGGCTCACAGCCATCTGTAATGAGATCAGGTGCCCTCTTTTGGTCAGCAAGCATACAAACAGAACACTGTATACATAATTAATAAACAAATCTTTAAAAAACAAAAAGGTGGCGGCTGGAGAGATGACTCAGAGGTAAAGAACACTGGCTACTCTTCCAGAGGTCCTGAGTTCAATTCCCAGCAACCACAAGGTGGCTTCACAACCATCTGTAATAAGATCTGGTGCCCTCTTCTGTACTGTAGGTAGGATACATGCAGGAAGAACCCTGCATACATAAAAATAAAAATCTTAAAAAAACAAAAAAGGTAAAGGACGAACAGCAAGGCTAAATGGGATTCCACCTGTGATCCCAGCACACGGAGGACGAGACAGGGAGACTGAGTTTGAGCCTAGCCTAGTGGGACACTGTCTCAAGAAAAATATTGGAGCTATACATCTACAGAGAAATGACATGGTGGAGGCAGACTCCCAGACAGGAACAAGGGAAGAACTGGGGCCAGACGCAGAAGGACTCACACACAAGGACAGATTATAGATCCTTACACACCAAACACAGCCACAAAGTATGAAGAAAAGAAGATAAACTAAGATCTCAGAGAGTCATAGACGACTGCACACGTGCAGTATGGAAACCATGCAAAAGCCTGTAAAAAGGTCGCACGGCTCACAGGCACTCCCAGACGCTCTCGGGAGCCCGCAGGCGCCCACAGCACTGCACACAGGACATGGACACACCACTAGGCTGAGAACACCGAAAGCACGGCTGCACTGACACTGTGAGGAGTCAGCGGACTCCCCAGACCTTACTTAGTCAGAAAGGTGGTCGGTGAGGAGTGCTTTGCATCCTGCCAGACTACACTGGAAATGATCACTACACACAGCTGAATGGACGGATGGATGGAGAGACGGATGGATGGACAGACGGACTCATGGGAAAAGAAAGCTAGGTGCAGAGATGGATGGCAGACGTAGACAGACAGGCAGGAGGGGGTGGCCTTTATAAACATGACTGTCTTACAGCCAGCACTCACTCTTGACAGCCCCCGACTATGCCTATTCTTCCGTCCTGCCCTTTGTGTTTCTTCGAGGTTAGAGCAGGCACAATGTTTCTCACCAACTGAAAAAAACTCTCCATGTCCTTTGTCGAGTGTGCTGTATGGAGGGAGAATGCTCTTTGTAAAACTGCAAAACAGAAAAATGAAGTCATTAGAGACTTAAGAGTAACCACCATCCCAAAGCTGCCCACACGAGCTCTCGAGTTTATCTTAGTTCTCGGGGTAATGCGATCAGAGGACAGCAGAGCAGCACACTGTACGCCAGGCTTCAGTAACGTACAGCATCTGTGGGGACCTTCATCAACCTATAGCTGGAATCACCACTCAACACCGTCTTCTCTCATTTCAACCCCAACCTCTAAAGTGGGGAGGGCTCTTCCTCTCTGTTCACACTGGAGAGCAAGCTCCCGGCTGCGACCTTGCGCTGTCGTCACGTCCACCCGATTATTCCCAAATGCATCTCAATATTCATCAGACACTAATCAGATTGCCTAGGAAGGCTCGAAACAGCGCATCCTAGGCTCAAGGTGGCACCGTGGAGCAACTGCACCACGTAGAGTTGTGTCTACCTCCATTTAACTGGCTTTTCTTGGAAAACTTCTTGTAGATGTGTTTTTCTACAGGGAAATGTTGGTATACACCACAGAACCCAATGCACATGTTCTCTACGATCATAAAATGTGTTTCTATGCGCTATCTACAGAGTCTATAGGATGTAAGGATCCCTGGAAACAAATACTATTTTCCTGAAACAAAGGTCCACAAATCCACTCAGGACAAAGCTCCCTCAGCTCCTTGGGGGAAAGTCATCTCAGTCTCTTCCAGCTTGACCTTGCTTACTTTTGCTCAATAAAATATTCCATTATTTCCCATGGGGTGCGTGCACATGCATACACACGCATGAAGGCCAGAGGTCAACCTTGGTACTGCTCTTCAGGGGCTATCCACCTTATTTCCCCCTTTGTGTGTGTAGGAGGGGGAAGCAGTGAGTGTGCACACGTGAGCTTAGATGTGTGTGTGTGCTGGGGGAAGCAGTGAGTGTGCACACGTGAGCCTTTGTGTGTGTGGAGGGGGAAGTAGTGAGTGTGTACATGTGAGTGTGTGTGGAGGGGGAAATAGTGTGTACACGAGTGTGTGGAGGGGGAAGTAGTGAGTGTGTACATGTGAGTGTGTGTGGAGGGGGAAATAGTGTGTACACGAGTGTGTGGAGGGGGAAGAGTGAGTGTGTACATGTGAGTGTGTGTGTGTGGAGGGGGAAGTAGTGAGTGTGTACACGTGAGCCGTTGTGTGTATGGAGGGGGAAATAGTGAGTGTGTACACGTGAGTGTGTGTGGAGGGGTAAGTAGTGAGTGTGTACACGTGAGTGTGTGTGTGGAGGGGTAAGTAGTGAGTGTGTACACGTGAGTGTGTGTGTGGAGGGGGAAGTAGTGAGTGTGCACACATGAGCCTAGATGTGTGGAGACCAGAGTTCTAGTTGTTTTCCTCAGTTACTCTCCACCTTATGTTTTGAGCCAGGTTTTTCCCTGAGCCAAACAGCAAGTGCCAGATGCCCCTGTCCGCGCCTCCCCAGCACCACAGCCCCGCGGCTGAGCCACTGCACTTTACCTTCTGAGCCAGGCGCTCTCATGAGGACAGGGCCTTGCTGGTTAGGCTCGACTGGCTGGCCAGGGAGTCCTGGCGACCCTCCTGTTGCTCTCCCCAGACTGGGAGTGCAAGCGTGTGGCACCATGCCTGTCTTTCTATAGGGCTGGGGACAGGTCCAGGCACCATGCCTGCCTTTCTATAGGGCTGGGGACAGGTCCAGGCACCACGCCTGTCTTTCTATAGGGCTGGGGACAGGTCCAGGCACCATGCCTGTCTTTCTATAGGGCTGGGGACAGGTCCAGGCACCATGCCTGTCTTTCTATAGGGCTGGGGACAGGTCCAGGTCTTCGTGCTAACGTGGCAAGCACAACTCCCTGACTCTCGTGTACATGCATAGGCCCAGATGTAAGGACAGGACTGACTTCCATGGCCCAACCATCTTTCACCAACCTCCAAGCCCACAGGGAACCTCTGGCAGAGAAGAGCTCCAGGCCTGACAAAGAAGCCACTGTCCCAGGAGCCTGTTATCAGGGGCCACAGGACTCACTGTCCGCTGCTGTGAGAGATAACAGATAGCCTACATCTGTTCCAGGAGTAGTGGCATCTGAGGAAATACCTCCCTGCCCCCCAAGCCAAGCCTCTGAAGCCACCTGAGACCTGGCGTCCATTCCTGCCCACACCTGTGATGAAACCCCTCTCCTTCTGCAGCCCCTCCTATCACTTGGGGCAAAAGCATGATGTCCCAGTTGTCCCTGTATCTGATCCTGGGGTGAGGAGTGCCAGGCTGAATGCTGAAGGTCATCCTGCTCCACACAGCTAATCACCACCCACTCAGAGATGAGGAAACAGGCTCCAGAGATGGCGAGATGCTATGGTCAGTGCCAAGTGAAGCTGGCACTCCATTACTGCACCTTTAGAGTTGTCCCTTCTGTTGCAGTTAACACTGGGAGAGCCTTGCAGAGGCTGCCAGGGTCACCAGGTCATTACGACCACTCCTTTGACAGACAACTAAAGACTCACTGAACACGCCTAGGAATATTCCTGCCCATGACCTTTATGACCCTAAACTGAGCAGCGCCAGAAGAGCTTGCACCTGTCATTTACCCTCTCAGCACGGACTCTCCTACTGTGAGCTAAGCAGCCCAGAAACCCATCTAGCATCTTTCCCTCTTGAACAATAACCTAAAACTGAGCATGCTCAGAAGAGTTACCCTAACTAAGGTTGTAGCAACCCCTAAAGCCTTTTCTTACAGGAGCATTCTACCCAGTGGGATCTCCCACTATATAGTCAGGGAGGGCACTGCTCTGAGAATAACTCTGTGTCCTTTACCTGCTAGAAGTAATGGAGCTTTCTCCAATTGTTTATCTCCTGGCTGTGCTCTGTGACTCAGGGCTCACCAAGATGTGAACACAATGTACTCCATTACACCATTTTACCAAAATGCGGGTGCTTGAAGGCAAAATAACTTATTCTTTAGCCAAATTATTCACTTGATTAACCAAAAGAGTCAAATCTTTCTCAAATGTTCTCCAGAGTCACTTGGGAGGGAAAAGAAAAATCTGTCATGAAGTGCAGCATGTTCTTTTTAAACTAGAACTCTATGAATGCCAAGTAAAATCCAAGCCATGGCGCTGGAGAGACGGCTTAGCAGTTAAAAGCACACACTGTTCTTCTAGAGGACCCAGGTTCAATTTCTAGCACCCACATGGCAGTTCACAACTGTAACTCCAGTTTTAGGGGATCCAACACCCTCACACAGATATACGTGCAGGCAAAACACCAGTGCACATAAGATAAAAATAAATTTAAAAAATCTTGTCAGGGGGCTGGAGAGATGGCTCAGAGGTTAAGAGCATTGCCTGCTCTTCCAAAGGTCCTGAGTTCAATTCCCAGCAACCACATGGTGGCTCACAACCATCTGTAATGGGGTCTGGTGCCCTCTTCTGACCTTCAGGCATACACACAGACAGAATATTGTATACATAATAAATAAATAAATATTTTTTAAAAAAAATCTTGTCAGGCAGTGGTAGCACAAACCTTTAATCCCACACTCAGGAGGTAGAGACAGGTGGATCTCTGTGAGTTCGAGGCCAGCCTGGTCTATAGAGCAAGTGCCAGGACAGAAAAACCCCTGTCTCGAAAAACCAGAAAGGAAGGAAGGAAGGAAGGAAAGAAGTCACAACCACGAAGCAGCACTGTGCCCCGCCTGACTCCAGCCAGTCCTCTGAAACAGCTGTCCCCTTCACACTATGCCCCTACACTGTCTGGTGAGCTGGCTAGGGGGATGTAATGCTATAGGACAGATTATCCTGGGCCATCTTAAGGATCTCAATCCTTACTCACTTTAACTTTTGTGTGTAGCCTAACACTCCTGCATTAAGAAAACGTCCCACACAGTGCCACCAAGTCCACAGACCTCTTGTCATGGTCAGTTTCTACTGTCAACTTGACACAACCAAGAGTCACCTGGGAAGAAGGAGTTGCAACTGGGGGGCCATGTCTGTGGGGAAACTGTCTTGACTCTGATCAGCGGAGGGCTCAGCTCACCGGAAGCACACACACAGGTGGTGCACAAGTGTGTGGTATAACAAAGTCAGCAGAGCCAGTGGTCCGCCTTCCTCCATAGTCTCTGCTTCAGCTCCTGTCTCGACTTCCTTCCTGACCTCCCTTAAACATGACTGTGACCAAGAGATAGGAGGTGAAACAAACCCTTTGCTCCAAAAGCTGCTTCGGTCATAGTGTTGATCACAGCCACAGCCAGCCAACCAGACGTCTACACCAAAGAAGTAGGGAACGCTAGAGTACAAGATGACAGCTGAGACCAACACAGGTTTCCTGCTCTGCTGCCACCAAACAACACACTGCCTTCTGCCTTTTGTTCCATGAGTGGAAATCTGGCACATTAGGATAACCTGAATGCCCTGAAGAGTCAGTCCCTTTACCTCACGGCAGAGAGCTCGGCTGGTCAAAGGCCGGAGGCAGGTCGATTAGATTTCCCAACACTTTACACTAGAGGATCAAGTTGTAGCTGGCTCACTGCCACCCTAGTGGGTTTACCCACCAAAGTATTAAGAGGCTACTTAAAATGTAAATGCTGTTTACATAAGTGACTTGGACTGGAAAAGCAGGTAGCGCCCGTTTGCATTTTGCTGGCTGAGGATAGCTACCACCACTTTTGTGCCCCAAGTGCTTTGATGAATTGAATTCTAAGTTGGAGCATATGACAGCGACCCATACATTAAGTGAGACCCACCCAAAGCACAGACTCTTTTAAAGACCCGTTCTGTGGTATACATTTAGCAAGTCAATCTAGTAATGAAACTTTAGAGAAGTACAGACAAACAAACAAAACCTTACGAATCAGTGTCTGAACATAAGGCAAGAAAAACCAAGGAAAAAGGTCTCTAAATAAAGGTGGGTTTAAAAGCCTTTTATGGGCGTGACTGTCATTAGACTTGGAGGTGCCACCTACTTAAATTGAAAAACAAAAGCCAACATTTCTCCACATTTTACCCTTGGCTGTGATCAACATGTTCATAGGCCATGGTCAAACCTTCCTAATGAATTCTACAACAAACAGTAAACTTCACCACTTCAGCCGCTTACTCCTGGGGAATGCTGGTTAAGTCACTTCTTCAGAAACTCGACTGTCTACACAGGTAGACAACAGCTCTTTCTATCTCTCTGCTTTGTAAGAAATGGGATGATGTACAAGGGATGTTAGAAACGCAACTATCCATAAACAAGGAACAAAAGCCATATAATGACCCATCTGCTCAACCCATGAGTTCTTCCTCCGTAGTCTGTCCTATCTGAAGAGGGACCTACCTCCTGCTCCACCTGTTGGGACAGGGTCTTAGATGTGTCTGGCTGCTCTTCAAAGGGAATTCCAGGCTAGCCAAGGTTACACAGTGAAACTTCAAAAATAAGGGTCTAACTGGAGCTCCGAATCCCGTAAGTCACTTGACTTAGTCCATCTCTCAAAGAAGCCCCTGCACACAATCCTCAAACGTCGGGCTTAGGAAAGAGGGTGAGCCACACCTTGACCCCACCCACCTCCTCCAAGAACTTGCAAGCTTTGAGCTAGGGCACCGGTACTGGCCCTGCTCACGGAACGGCTTGCGTCTCCCACACGTCTAGCCCAGACCCCCAGCGTTTCCCGGGAGCAGGGGAACCTAGCCCTCAGTCAGGCCCGCCGCACCGACTGCCCGGCGCTGGAGGCGCCCACGCCAGGCAGAGTCCGTCCTGCAGGGCCGCCCGCTCGCCGCGGCGCCCGACTCGGGTCCACCCACCCGCCCGTCCGCATGGGCGGCACTGGCCGGTACCTGCGTGTAGCGGCGGCCAGTGGAGCGCGATCGCGGCCGAGAGCAGCGCCACCACGGCCGCCACAGCGGTCCCACAAGCGCGGACCGCCATCCACCGGACGCCGGTATCGATCTTACCTCGCCCGCAGGCGCTGATGGCCACTGAGTTGACGCCCATGGCGGCTCGGCCGACTTCCGGGTTCCCAGCTGCCCCCGCGCGGCCCCCGGGCCCCCGCCATTGGTCCTTCCTCTGGACTCCTGGCGCCCAGGAGACCGTCCAACCACGGCCATTGGCTTTGTCCCTGCGTCCCCGAGGTCTCCCCCATCTTCCCACCCCTTCCCCCGCGTCGCTGAGCCACGGCTATCGGGTTTCCTTCTGAGCTCCCGGCGGCCCCAGCGCGCCGCCGGAAGTGTGTTCCTGATTCTGGAGGACTCGTCTCACCCCCGAGGTCAGCCTCCACTAATCAAATTTCTGCTCTCTGCTCAGAGGATTGACAATCAGGACACCCAATCCGGCCTGGCCCCAGATGTGGTAGGCCGCTCACTGCCTGAAGCCTTAGTGGTTTAGGGTCCTCGTTCTTTTTTTTTTTTTACCTCGTTCTGTAGTGCTTTGTCCGTGGACACGATTGAGTTGGAGGTCACCTGTAATGCCCAAATAGGTAATATCCTTGTCCCTGGTGAATCCCACAACTAGATCTACAGGCCCATGATTTACCCCTATGAAACCAATTTATGGCCCCAGCTCCTCGTGGCCTTTACCATCTCAGTAGAAGATAGGTAAAGTCCACAAACCAGAAGCATCATACCCATGCCCCTTATGGCTGCCTGCCTTTGATACCTCTTCTTCTACCCTGACTGAGGCCTGGGTGATGACAATATGTGTCTCTCTGAGTATATTTGCACACGTGTATAAAGGTGCCCGTGGATGCCCAGAAAGGGGATCAGATCCTTTGGAGCTTGGGTCCCAAACAGTTGTGGGTGCTGATGTGGAGGCTGGGATCTGAACTCGGGTCCTCATGATTGAGCCACAAGTGCTCTTGACCACTGAGTCCTCTCCAGTTCCCTGTGTTAGGAACCTGTGGTAATTTTCTCCTATATAAAAGCCAAGAGCCTACAGTTGTATTGTTTTCCTGCATTTTACAAGCAAGCCATAGAAGCAGAATCCAAGATTGAGGAGTTCGCCTTGTGATCACCACACTGTGTGTGTGTGTGTGTGTGTGTGTGTGTGTGTCTTTGTGAATTTCTCCATTAAATATCAACTTGGTTTTTCAAGACAGGGTTTCTCTGTAGCTTTAAAACCTGTCCTGGAACTAGCTCTTGTAGACCCGGCTGGCCTCAAACTCACAGAGATCCACCTGCCTCTGCCTCCCAGGTGCTGGGTTTAAAGACATGAGCCACCACTGCCCAGTGTGAAGTCTGTTCTTGCTGGCTTCCATCTCAGTGGAAGACTTTAGAAACTTTACCTTCAAAAAAAAAATGTAGCTGGATGTGGTAGTCCCTACTGTTATCCCAGCACTCGGGAGATAGGCAGGAGGGTCGTTGCAAGTTCCAGGCCAGCCTAGGCTATGTTGTGAGAACTGTCTACACACACACACAGCAACAGTGACAATAACATAAAACAAAAAGCAAGCAACAAAAGCCCAATCCCCACACAAAGAACAACAAACTCACAGCAAATCCTCTTCCGTAAACAGAGGGAAAGAGCAAAGCTGGGGGTTGTGACTCATTCAGAGGCTGACACAGAAGGACCAGGATTTCAAGGCCAGCCTGGGCTACATAGAAAGTTCCAGACGAGACTGTGATACCTAAGGAGACCCTGATAACAGAGATAGAGAGGGAGGAGAATTTGGTAGGGAAAGAAGAAACAGGTTAAGTTCAGTTTAGGGGACATGGCACATTTAATGCAACAGTTGGTATAGTTAAACCAACTATAGGAGTTCAGGTTTGAGGAGGCAAAGCATGCTGGGCTTTGTGGAGGAAAGGCTTTCCCAGGAATTCAGCAGGTCCCACATGTCACTGAGTGTAGCAGTGAGCCCCATAGTCACCCTCTGGAGACATGGAGAAGCTAGACAAAAGAAATGGTATCACTACCATGTCCTGGGGGATTGGATCCAAAACAACTATCTTTAAGAGAAGCCAGGAAGGCGGAACAATAGTTCTTTCTTCCCCTTAGAACATCAAGTGAAGGAGCCGAGTATGGGCATGCTGGCTAGGAAGAGGATTCGCAGTGTTTCTCCTGCAAGGAGAAGACATTCAAGGTGTCGTGGGGCCTGACTCAGTTTCCAGTGTGGCACATGAAAGTGGGCCTAAGGGCTGGAGAGATGGCTCAGCGGTTAAGAGCATTGCCTGCTCTTCCAAAGGTCCTGAGTTCAATTCTCAGCAACCACATGGTGGCTCACAACCATCTGTAATGAGGTCTGGTGCCCTCTTCTGGCCTTCAGGCATACACAGAGACAGAATATTGTATACATAATAAATAAATATTTTTTAAAAAAAGAAAGAAAGTTGGCCTAAGGAGATGGATTTAATTAGAAGGCAGCATCAGAATGTCCAGGGCACATAACTGGCACCTGCAGTGTATTGCAACAAATAGCTGCTGCTCATGTCAACAGTCACAGGCTGATCACTGGCACACATGGAACACCTGGAAGATGCCCATGAAGATCGAACCCAACACAGCTCCTGGTCTTGGTGACTTAGACCCGGCATGCCTATAGAAGACAACAGGTTCCAGAGATGCAAGGCTGTGGGATTCCTGGGGAGCAGCATTGTTGGGCTCCCTGGAGACATAGCTTCCTTCACTCTGGTCATTGGAGACCCAGTCTGGTCACTACAATCAGGAAATCTCCCTCCTCCTAGGTGTTACTCCAAGGATGTGGGCTAGAAAAGGAGGCAGCAGCATTGTGACCTCAAGGTCCTCTAATTTAAACATGAGCCCAGGACCTAGGAGGAAGAGAAGGAGGATTGAAGACATGTATGTCTCCGATGCTGAGTCTGCTGATCTGCTCTGGGGGTGACCAGCTGCATGGTTTACTCAGCTTCCTCATTATAACACAAAAGCCCCTGCCACTTGCTGAGGATTTTACATAGATTATTCTCTTGGCCATTCACATTAATTTTCTATTAAAAGTTTTGAGGTCAGGGATATATCACACAGGGATATAAGAAATGATTACCTCAGCCCGGGCAGTGGTGGTGCATGCCTTTAATCTCAGCACTCGGGAGGCAGAGGCAGGTGGATCTTTGTGAGTTCAAGGCCAGCCTGGTCTACAAGAGCTAGTTCCAGGACAGGCTCCAAAGCTACAAAGAAACCCTGTCTCAAAAAAAAAAAAGAAAGAAAGAAAAGAAAAAAAAAGAAAAAAGAAAGAAAGAAAAAGAAAAGAAAAGAAAGAAACTTGGCCCTTTGATCAAGAATACTAAGAAATATTACAGAAAGATCCCATAAACTTACCCAGTTCCCCAAATTGTAACATCTACACTGTTAGGCATCTGTACTGGCCTGACCTCGGGGTATCTGCTCTCAGCTGTAGCCACTAAGAGCACCTCCTGTGCACATTCACTACGTTCCCTTTTAAAAGGGCTCTGCCCACCTCCACCTCCAAACTGTCTCCTCAAAGCACAGGAGAACATTGCCTTTCCCCAGAACAGCTCACATGATGCATTATCCGTTCTTCATTTCTCTGGGACAAATGTGTTAACTCCACAGTTACTCACAACATTTGCCCTTTGCCAGAAACTGATAGATGGGAGGACGTTACGCATAAAATTTAAAACCAAGAAGAGATTAACCTTGACTCTGGCTCATACCCTGATCACTGAACCCACACCAATCCAATTCTTTCTTTGTAAACTCCCATTGGTCCTGAAAGACAGAAAGCCTCCTCTACAGTTCCAGATCTTGCTTGGACTCTGCTCCGAATCCACATATTCCCCTCTGTTAAAGCATCTGCCCAATGTTCTATTAAAGCACCTGCCAGACTCTAAGGGCTGGGCCTCTGTAGCTGGGATAGAGTCAACTTCACTCTCTGTATCCCAGTATTTAAAACAGTGCCTCAAGGAAAAATAACAAAAGATGTAATAAATGCTACAGTTAGGGTGAAGAAATACAGAAAGACAGACAGGTAGATGGACGAATGGGTGGTGCATGAGTGCTTGGGCAGATGGATGAGTGAATAGCTTGGTGCATCCAAGATAGTTACATATATGGATGGATGCACGGGTACATGGATGTTTGTGTGACTGGATAGATGAGTGATGGGAGAATTGATGGTTAAATGGGTGGGTGGATACGTGCATATATGCAAGGATACATACATGTATATATACATGAATGACAGCTGGCTGGGGTAGATGCATGCTTGTATAAATGCAAGGATAAACATACATAAATACATAGATGATATGTGGATAGATGGGTGGATGGATGCATGAATGCATACAGGATGGATGGGTAGATGCATGGTGGGTAGATGAGACAGACAGGTAGATGGCTGACTGAATTAAGACACAAAACAAATGATAGAATTTTTTTATATTTATTTATTTATTATGGATACAATATTCTGTTTGCATATATGCCTGCTAGAAGAGGACACCAGACCTCATTACAGATGGTTGTGAGCCACCATGTGGTTGCTGGGAATCGAACTCGGGTCTTTTGGAAGAGCATGCAATGCTCTTAACCGCTGAGCCATCTCTCCAGCCCCAAATGATAGAATTTTTAAAAGGCTTATTTATTATTCATACAGAATATACAGTATTCTGTCTGCATGTATGCTGCAGGCCAGAAGAGGGCACCAGATTTCATTACAGGTGTTTGTGAACCACCATGTGGTTACTGGGAATTGAATTCAGGACCTCTGGAAGAGCAGTCAGTGTTCTTAACCTCTGAGTCATCTCTCCAGCCCCAAATAATAGAATTTGAAGTGTTGTGACATTGGGATGGGCTATGGGGAACACTTCAGAGGTGGTGTGTGTGTGTGTGATGGTGGTTATGATTCCTGGATCTTGAAATTTGCCCACCTATTGTGGGAAAGAAGACGTGGAGGTTTAGAGAAAAGAGCAGACTTGGTCAGCAAAGGCCAACTTTCTGGAAGGACTGTGAATTTTGTCTAGTAACGGTCAAGTCTAAGTAGTCTCTTCTTTTACACATGTATGTAGTATGTGTGTCTGCACCTGCATGTGTGGGCCCATGTGTGCATGTAGACACACACATGTATATATAGGCTATATATATATATATATATATACATGTGTGTGTGTATGCATGCAGGGGTCTGAAGTTGACATCAAGTGTCTCCCTTGGTCACTCTTTTTTATTATGTGTATGTATTGTCTTGAGGCAGAGTCTCTCACTGAGCTAGGAATCCACAGCTTCAGCTGGTTTGCTGCCCTGCTCCTGGGGTTCCCTGTGTCTCAGGAGTCCACAGCTTCAGCTGGTTCGCTGCCCTGCTCCTGGGGTTCCCTGTGTCTCAGGAGTCCACAGCTTCAGCTGGTTCGCTGCCCTGCTCCTGGGGTTCCCTGCATCCAGGTAGTCCTGAATGGTATAAGATCGCAGGCCGAGCAATTGGTGGGAAAAGGCCAGTAAGCAGTGCTTCTCCAGGGCTTCTTACATTAGCTTCTCCCTCCTGGTTCCTAGCCGCCCTTCTTGTATTCCAGCCTTGACTTCCTTCAGTGACGGACTTTGATGTGGAACTCTAAGCTTAAATAAACCCTTTCCTCCTCAGGTTTCTTTTGGTCATGGTGTTTGGTCACAGCATTGGAACCCTATGACAGAAATTGGTGCCAGGCTAAAGAGGAGGGCATTGCTGTTTCAGACCTGACCATGTGTTTTGCAGGAGGATGGTGGCAGTATCTGAACCTTGGGTTGGAAAAGCTGCTGAGTGCTCAGAGCTTGGTGAGCCCTTGTGGGAACTTGGAGGATCAACCCGAGAGCAGTGCCGACAGACAACGGAGGCCTGGCTTGTGAGGTGCAGAGGTAAGTTTTGAGAGTTCCTTAAAGACTGTTGGAAATATTGGCATTTTGAATTAAGAGCCATTAAAGTGAAACTCTAATTTACTGGAATTCTACATTAACCTGTTTCTCTTCATCTACATTTTGCCTCTGGGCTTTTTTTTTACCTTCCTTTCTGTATGTCCTACTGTGTCTGCTGGCTGGCTGGTTGGCCAGGGACTTCTCACTCTCTTGCTCCCTCATTCTCTTCTCCTTCTCCCTCCTTTTCTTCTTTCTGGAACCTAGATTTCTCCTCCTGATTATTCTCTCTGCCCGCCAGTCATTCCTATCCCTCTCCTGCCTGGCTATTGGCCATTTTAGTTTTTATTAGACCAATCAGTTGCCTTAGACAGCAGAAACAAATGTAACATATCCTTACATTGTTTAAAAAAATGCAACAGAAACAAAACAACACACCTTTACACAGTTAAAGTAATATTCCACAGCATAAACAAATGTAACACATCTTTACATAGTTAAATATTCTACAACATGACAATGTCCTGGATCATCAGTCTTGGAGCAAGCCAGTAAGCAGCACTCCTCCATGGCTTCTGGTTCAGCCCCTGCCTCCTGGTTCCTGCCCTGAGTTCCTGCCTTGATTTCCCTGGAGGATGGACTTAGAAGCTGCAAGGCAAACTAAACTCTTTCTTCCCCAAGTTGCTTTTGGGCATGGTGTTTAGTGACAGCAGTGGAAACCCTATTTAAGACTATATCAGCAAAGTCTGACTAGGATGGGCAGCCACAAGGATAGGAGCAGACTTGACTTTGGAGGGCGTGGGGTATTCTTTGTCACTGACTGGGGTGCTGACTGTGTTGACAGTTTCCCTTGCAAATCTGGAACACTTTGGTGTCTTTATCCGGGGCTTCCTTCTGCAGAGTCCTTTGTTCTCTGCAGGGGCTCTTATGGCCAGCAATTTCTGTTGCTTTATGAATAGATCTTCAGTTGATCTTCCAAAACCATTAGTACATTTGTTGAGAAATTTCTCATTTTTTTCCCTCCTCTTTTCTTTCCAGAGTTATAAAATCTAACTTGAATTTCCCAGTGTGAAGGCATGACATCCATGGCAGAGGCTCAGAAGCCGCGACCTGAGGCAAACTGGAAAGCAAGTGGAGATGAAGCATGAGGACTTTTCTCATGCCCTCACAGCACCCTTGTTGTGGTAAAAAGTGCACACACACACACACACACACACACACACCTGGTGGCATCTTCCATGTACTGCAGTGAACTCATTATTGAGGCTCTTAAATTCTGTTTGCAGGTACAGTGAAGTGCTTTAAGTGTGGACACTCAGGGTTTCTGAGATGACAGACATTGCCGTTCCAACAAGTTAGTTTTCTTTGCAAAAGTAAACAGCCTGCCCAAGGGCAAGTTCATGGTTACGGTGCCACTTAACGAATGTCTGAGAAATTCTTGTTTCCTGTTTAGACAAGCCGTGAGAAAGGTAATTGAGAAACAGGTCTGGAGAAAGCTGCTGCGAAGCACGGCCAGGGTGGGGGCAGGCTCTTAATCTCAGATGATAAATGGTTATACACCTCACCGGCTGCTGGCTCTTCACAGGTCACCCCTGCAGTAGAACTCAGGACATTTCTGTCATTTCCCATCCATTTCAATGTTCTCCATCCAGCAGGAGGAGGAAGAAGAGGATGAGATTGCCACCCCCATCACACCTGGCGAGTTGTCAGAACACTGTGTTAGAGTTTAAGACACTGTTCCTTCTGATTGAACCCCAAAGCAACCACCATGGTAGAACTGTTGTCCTCTGGAGGCATGTTCGTGTCCTTACCCCTGGTCCCAGGGTTGTGGCCAGTTCTTAGCATCCTTGACTCTTCTCTCCCACTCTACTGGCCACGGCACCCTGCTCTGTGCTAAGCAGTAAGGACTGTAAGTCACTTTATCTTATTTCAGGTATTAATAAAAATGATTTTAAAGCTAAAATGAGCAGGTCATGGTAGCACACGCCTGTAATCCAGCACTTGGGTGGTATAGGCAGAAGGTTCAGGTGTTAGTACAAGGCTAGCCTGGGCTACACAAGACCCTATCTCAAAACTACACGGTAAAATAGAAATTAGACAGGAAACACGAGGTTCATTTTTGTTTTAATTCTGTGTGTGGATGTGTGCAAGTTAGTGCACTTGCTGGGTGAGGACAGAGGTGTTGGATCTCCTGGAGCTGGAGTCACAGGCAGTTGTGAGCTGCCTGATGTGGGTGCTGGAATCAAACTCAGGTCCTCTGCGAGAGCAGTAGACACTCCTAACCTCTGAGCCATCTTTCCAGCTTATTTTTGATAAATACATTTCTCTCTTTTATTTTTTTAAAAAGATTTATCACATGTAGAGTGTTCTTCATGCAGGAATACCTGCATGACAGAAGAAGGTACCAGATCTCATTATAGATGGTTGTGAGCCACCACAAATTTGCTGTGGATTGAACTCAGGACCTCTGGAAGAGCAGCCAATGGTGCTCTTAACCACTGAGTCACATCATCTTAACAGCCCTGATAAATACCTTTAAAAAACAAAAAACAACAACAACAATAAAAAACCTGGCATTGGTATGCAGTCAAAAGAACAGGTGAACGGTGCCTTGAGAAACTGTGAGAGAGGCCCCAGGGCAGAAGGCCTTTTACCTTGAGGAACTGTGAGAGAGGCCCCAGGGCAGAAGGCAGAAGGCAGAAGGCAGAAAGCAGAAACCCTTTAAAGGCCTCTTTTACCTCGGGTGCATTTTAGTCCCTGGATTATTCCTGGACGTGACTTCCTGCCTCCTGCGTTAAACGTTTGCGTTCAGTTTATAAGCCGTGTTTATTCGTGTTGGATGTGGGGACACAGCTATAGAACCCAGTCTGGTCAGTGTACCCTGACTCTGGATATGGCCTCTGCCTTGCCTTCATACTTTCCCAGGTATAATCTATAGCACGTGCCAGGCTCCTGTGTTTCAGTTGGTCTGTCCTGAGAGAGACTGGGAAAGGTCTGCACGGTTAATATTTAGCATGTGCTTCCTGATGTCTGTGTGCATGTTTTTCTGCACTCGCACAGCCTTCCTTGGACCACTGCCTTCTTCGTTATGTTTGTATGTAAAGTGCACTGATCCTGAAGGGCGGCTGTCTACAGCTCGACTGCCATCTCCCCATCCTCTCTGGTCCTTGGATCCCCAGAGTAGCAGGCAAGAAAGTCTACACCAGGTGTGGTGGTTTGAAACCCTCCCCTGGGCTTGAGCCTTGAGCACCTGGGCTCCTGTTGGTAGCTTTGTTGGGTGAGTCATGGGGGTGTGGTGTTTGAATGAGAATGACCCTCAAAGGCTCACGTTTGCATCCTTGGTTCCCTGTTGGAACTGTTGGGAAGAATTATGAGATCTCGTTAGAGGTGCTTCAAAAGACTCAAGCCATTCCCAGGTGGTTCTCTCTGCTTCTTGCTCATGCACCAGGACATGGAAGGTCTCAGCTACTGCTCCAGCGTCATGCCTGCTGCCCTGCTCCCCACCGTGAGGACCACAGACTCCAACCCTCTGGAGCCCTCTGAGCCTGAGTGAGAAAACATATTTGCTACATCCTGACCCAACCTCATACTAAAACTAGGACCAGCCTGACCCACAGGTGTTCCTAATGCTCAGTGGGACCCGTGACTCACCTGCTGTTGCTCTGCTTCCGTGACTACAAGGCTTTCTGCTCCCCTCCATATCAGACAGAAGCATCGCGATGACACGGCTGTGCCCTATTCTTATTAAAAGTTCATGCTTGCTAGCCGCCACACCAACGGGACGTACCAAACCTGTGGTTTTGATCTTTCTATACCTCCTGCTCACTAACCTCGAGGTCATCTTGTAGTCACAGGAGTGGGTGCCTCTGGCCAGGTCTGGGTGGCTCAACAAAAATTTCAAATTCATGGAGTTCATCTGGTCACCTTCTCTTGGGTGAGAACAGCCTGGCTACAACACCCCAGATTAAATGTTTTCTCTTATAAGCTGCCTTGGCCATGGTGTCTCATCGGGGCAAAAGAAAAACAACTAGTACTCTGAGGAAAGAAGAAATCCCTTTGTTGTGTTTTTAAAGACAAACAAAAAACAGGAACACCCCCCCCCCACACACACACAAACTACAAAGCTGGGATGTCACCCAGGAAAGCGCTGACCCCTGGGAAGCAGGCCGGTCACCAGGGACCAGAGCAATGTCCATGAAGGGGAGCCTGGGCTGCCCTCCTCGAGCTGGACAGCTACGTGACTGGAAACAAGAGTCAAGGTGTCTGCTTCAGAAGTCCACAGAAGACCATGGTTCTTCGTGCAGGCCCTGGCAGTGAGGTGTCCCTGGGGTTTCCCCAGTTTCTGTCCCTGCCTCTCTGTATTTCTCTTTATATCGTCTCAGCGTTCATATTCCTCTTCTACACCAGTCATGTTATGTGGCTGCTTCGTATGGTCTTAACAGATCACATATGAAATGACCCTACTTACCCATAAGGTGACAGGCTCAGAGGTACTAGGGTAGGCTTTTAATGACTTGGGAACACAGATCAGTCCCCAGTTGGCAGCCAAGCTGCAGGTCTGTCTCGTTGCCTCTGGTGATACCTGGTGGAAGACGTTTCTATTTTCCTATCCTCCTCCCACCGGCCCAGCTTCCATGTGCTTAGATCTTGCCTGGCCAGCGGTACACAGCAGGATTGTTACACATTCCAGCCCAGGTGACTGTAGCTCAGTCAGGTGGCCCCGAGACCACTCCAAAAACCATCTCCAGGAGGGGGTCCTTCCCTTGGATCCCTGCCCCGGGGGCATCTGATGGAGTCACCTGTGTGACACCATTGGATCCTGGGGAAGAGCGAACTGAAAGCTAGCCACCTCACTGCAGGAGGGCTTGCGTGAAGGAAGGGCGGAGGTCGTCACGTCATGGCCACACTCACACTCCTGGCCGACCTCCTGCTGTGAGAGAGGACCCACGGGATCAGCTCCTTCCAACGGGCTGGAGAAGGTACTGACCATCACCAGTAGGGGGCGCAAGAAGCCACCGTATTTCTGATTCTGCTCACTCCAGCGAATGTATTGGTGGCTTTCACACGGAGCTGCACATTGATAACATCTGCACCTGGGGGTGTGGGGTCTTTATAAAAATACCACTGTCTGTGGAAAGACTTAAAGAGTCGCCTCACCAGAGAAGACTAACACCAAACACATAAAAATGTGCTTAGAAGCTTCAGCCACTGGGACAATAAATCAAAACCAGAGTTAAAAACCCCTGACATACCAGAACGCCAAATGTTGGCAGGATGAGAAGTCAGAACTCTCCTGAGCTGCTGACGGTGGGGAAAGTGTCACCACAGCCAGGAGACCATAGCCTGAATGTCCAGCAGGAAATGGATCAAGATGGTGAGGTGAAAGGAAAAAGCCACACCAGTGAGACTTACAGACTAACTCCTGCTCTGTTGACGGAGCCAGACTCAGGTGGGAGCATGCAGCATCGTGCCATGTTTATAAAAATTTGGAAAATTCCAATTATTTGGTAGTGGCAAAGGTTCACGGTTGGTTGAGGCTAGAGAGGATGGAGAGGGGCCATCCATGGCATGACCCAGGAGCTTAAGAAGCCCAGTGGACAATGATGTGCTCGTGCAAGCTATGATCCCACAGGTGAACATGTGTCAAATGTATCTAGGTGCCCACCCCGAAAGTGTACACTATACCTCTCAACTACACTTCAGTAGAGTTATCAAAAAAAAAAAATAGGTGTTGGGAATCATCATAGAGAGGCCTCATCATAGAGAGGCCTCATCATAGAGAGGCCTCATCATAGAGAGGCCTCTGTTGGCAGCTGATGGGGACAGATGCAAAGACCCACAGCCCAAATTGGAGATCTCTGTCGGGTCTCTCCCCTTGGAGCTCAGAGAACCCCATGGAGGAGGTGGAGGAAGAACTGTGGGAGTCAGAGGGGCGGAGAATAGACACCAGGAAGACACAGTTCACAGAATCAACTAAGCAGGGCTCATACAGCCTAGTGATTGTTCATAACAGTAGAAGTGGGGGTGTCTCTGGCTCTTTTGCCTGCTCTTGGGACTCTTTTCCTCCTACTGGATTGCCTTGCCCAGGCTTGGCGTGTAAGGGTTTGTGCCCAGTCTTTTTTTTTTTAATATTTATTTATTATGTATACTGTGTTCTCTTT